GGGACGAGGCGGGGCGGTCGTGCAGGCTGCTCGTGCAGGCAGCTCACTGCTCAGTCCTCAAGGAATCGCCTGAAGACCGCTAGGTCGAGTGGGGTGAATCCATATGTATTCCGAGCCTCTGGGTCCGCTCCCGCGCTCTGCAAGAGTTGCATCGAGGCGCCGTTGGTGAAGGCGGCGGCGGCGTGCAGGGGCGTCCATCCGACCGCATCCACGACGTTGATCCGCGCTCCGGCATTCAGAAGCGCCGCTGTGCACGTGCCCGAGGTGTCCGAGCAGGCGGCTGAATGAAGTGGAGTGGCGCCGTACCGGTTTCGCGCATTGACGTTGGCGCCGGCGCACAACAGGTACTCCAACACCTCCCACCTGCGCACGCGGTCGCAAATACAGTGAACATTTTCACCTACTGCAAGGCGAGTTAACGGGTACCATCCCAGTCCTGGAGAAATCTTGTAATTTGTGAGATGGAACCACAGTCTTCAACCTCAGCACATCACTGCAAATTTAGCGTAAATTTAACAGACTGCTTAAGTGTGCAAGGGTCGGGAAACTGCTCTGTGTGGATCCTGGTGAAGGATCAAAATTTCTCTTTTAACATGCGCACACCACCGAAGGACGAACGTTAATATTTGTATACGGTACTGTTAAGTCTGCAAGATATAATGTTCCGTGCCCGCGATAGAGAAGGATTACGATTCCTGAAATGAGGCTTTCACCCCTCCAGCCCTGCGTACTCAACCCAAAAATTAAGTTCGTAAAAACGAGTTCCAGGTCTGTACTCTGTAACGTTTAGATTTCTTTAGAAGAATATTTCTTGCGTCTCCAACGTCAGCTGAAAATATACAAGAAATTAAATTCTCTGCCTTTGTTGGTGGAGGATTTGAATTCCTGAAATAAGGTTTCCTTACGTTCTCGGAGATTCACCACTTCTTCAGTGTGAAGGTGGATTGATTGATTTATTGATTGTTAGTGATATCGAGCACGTCAACAAGTCAAGAGATCATTAGTCCCTTAAATGTAGAGCGCGATTTGTCTCGGGACAGAATCCAAGTTGTGTTGGTACATAAACCGAAAGAGTGATTGACAGCCAAAAGTTCGTACATCCGTCCATTTTTTTTCAAGCGAAATTACAGGCATTGTCTTATGTATATCAGGCAGTAATTGCCGTGTACTGGCTTTCTGTCTCGTCGCTCGGGCTGCATGATACAAGAACCATCGCAACGTGGGTGCTAGGGTAACCGTCAACGTAAGTGTGACGTACCTGCCGTTACCAGCGGCTACATGAAGTGCCGTGTTGCGTCGGGAGTCCGTCGCTTCGATGGGAACGCCAGCCGCCAGGCACTCCAGGATCTGCTCCAAGTCGCCCGCCTCCGCCGCCGCCATCAGACGCCTCACCATCGCCGTATCCCCACTTGCCGCCTCCGCTCGTTCGCCCTGGCATGAAGGATCCGAGGAGGAGGACGACGAAGAGGAGGCAGCGGCGGCGTAAATGGAAGAAATGAACGGTGGGAGGGGTCGTTTACGGTAAGCTGTTCCGGCAGTGGCACGGATTGCACAGTTGGAACTGGCTGCGCAAGCCCGGCCAGAGTCCAAGCTGGCATTGGAGAAAGAGCCACTGCCCCGGGCTGAAACCACGCCGGAGGCTGAACCGACGCCGCGCGCTGGGCCGGCGTCGAAGTCTGTGTGTGTGCCGGAGGCAGAGTCAGCACTGGACGCACAACCAACAAAGGAGACACAG